GTGGTAATAGTGATGATAATGATAATGATAACGATGATAAAAATGATAATGATGATCATACACTCTTTAGAATCTTTAAACACATGATTTACGGTAACTTACTGTGGAGAGGGACATTCGTGCTCGTTGCAAGGCTTTCGTATAGACATAGGTGTAAAAACATTGAGATCGCATTTAGAAAAGTCGACAATATAACGTGTTTTAGTGTTTCGACACTCCTGCTGGAAATACGTCCAACCTAATGAAAACAGAATCATCATCCTCCTAATCTTCATCGTTATTGTAAAATCATTCATTATTTTATTTCCTATACAACTCCAACGAGTATTAGCTTGGCATCATAGCTCATTTTTTATTAGAAGGGTTTTAATAGCAATATAGTTTGTTTTTTGGTTTATGGTATCATGTATCCTCGTCGTCGTCATTGTCATCATCATCATCATCATCAATGTCATCATCCTCACTATCATTATCCTCACCATTATTATCCTTACTATCAGCATCCACATCCTTACAATCATCGTCGTCATCATAATAATTTTCGTCGTCGTCGTCGTCAACATAATCATCATCGTAATCATTATCATTTTCGTCCTCATCATCGTTATAGATGTCATCCTCATCAACGTCATCATCATCATCATCATCAACGTCATCATCTTCACCATCAATATTCTCACCATTATTATCCTCACTATCAGCGTCCTCATCCTTACAATCATCGTCGTCATCATAATTTCCGTCGTCGTCAACATAATCATCATCGTAATCATTATCATTTTCGTCTTCATCATCGTTATAGACGTCATCGTCATCGTCATCAACGTCATCATCATCATCAACAACGTCATCATCCTCACCATCATTATCCTCACCATTATTATCCTCACTATCAGCATCCTCATACTCATCGTCGTCATCATAATATTCGTCGTCGTCGTCAACATAATCATCATCGTAATCATTATCATTTTCGTCCTGATCGTCTTTATAGACGTCATCGTCATCATAACTGTCATCATCACTGTCGTCATCATGCACATTACCATCATTCCCATCAACATCATCATTGTCTTTGTCATCACCATCATCATCATGACCATAATCATCATCATCATTATCACATCATCATAATCGTTATCGCCATCATCATTGTCGTCGCCGTCGTCATCTTCACCAACGTCATTATAGACGTCATTATGATTGAATTCATTGACACACGATGTTCATCATATGTGTTTCTAAAATGTTTCCAGCACTTACCCCCACCGCAGGCTTCTGTACACTCTGACCAGCCATATGACTCCCATCGGTATAACGGGATGCTCTTAGTAGGCCTAGGAGGTGTAGTCGGTGGAACAGTTGATGGAATTAAAGTTGTGGAGAGAGGCGTTGTAAAGTCTGGTTCGTTTGGTATCACGTATTGGTTTCGGACTTCTACAAACCGGGAGTAACCGAGAGTAGAGCTTACCTGTACATTATCAAAAAGCTCTACTGTATGATCGGAAATCGTATTTAGCCCGCCATTACCGCCAGCAGCGTCATTAACGCCTACAGAATACTTGAACTGTCAGTAATACTAAAGTGTATATGGGTCTAACTAAGAAAATTATGTTACCACAACGAATGGAACGAAAAACAATGTTGACCACCGTCATCGAACTCTAATGGACTTTTTACGTTAAGCCCCGCACCACCATATATATTGTGACTAATGTCCCACAAAAAGACAGAAGGGAGCTTTCGATTGCACGACGACGGTAGGACGTAGAACGTAATGACGTCACTAAAAGTCATCTGTGCATGCGAGAACGTTAAGGTCACCTCGTCGAGTAGATTCTGGAACAAAATTTGGCCAAATCTACGTATGTAGAGAACGTAGGACGCCAGGTAGGACGATCACGCATGAGTGATTCCGTTCTAACGTCGCGTCGTCGCACAAATCGAAAGCTCCCTTTGTAAAAACATACGCGAACACGTGCATTTTGCGGGACAACACGTGTGCTTGTTGGACACGAGCGTATTCCTGGCACTATTCTGATTAGTCTGTTGTTCATTTTGATCGACATTCCGGAAAAGTCCATTATCAGAGGCCCACAGCTTTCCGCAGAGTCAGATCCCGCCAACATAGATCATCCAGTATTATCTAAAAATGTTAGTAGTTATATAGTACTCAATGGGAATGCACTACAAGATAAACCCGCATCTTCATAACAAAAAATATCGCAAGCGTAGGCTACGGTATACAATATAAAACTTCCACCTACACATATGTGCAGGTGTCACCTACAAGTATGTGAATTGGCTTAAGTAGTGGTCCCTTGGCGGCTATGTACTCCCTCTCTCTGCCAAGCTCGTAAGCGAATCTCGTCCCAGCCCATACAGCGAATCCATTGGTGCTGTTTTTGTTCGTACTTTCGAAAATGTAATTCTTCGTTAGAGGATCTTCAATAACTGAAAAGATATAGCCGCAAATAACAGAGTTTCAGTCATCAGATGTAATAATCTGATGAGAAAGTAGTCAATATGTGCTAGTTCAAAACATTATACTTAACATATAAATAGTCATGCGTACTTGCCATTACGAGAATGCATATTTATTGATAATATTTATCAAATAATATTTGGTCTATTTTAGGTAGGCCCATAATTATTAATTATGTATAGGAAATGAAGTAAAGGTATTTTTGATGAAAAACCCTTTGAAGTAAAGAGGAGATATTTGAGTATTCTTAAGTATTAAAGACAATGATGTTGATATCGCTGCTATAATTTTTTTGAAAGACCATGAGTGAGACAACTATAAACATAATCTAGTTGGGGCTAACTTACCGAAAATGACATGTACGTTTCTCGGCTTGGATATCACAATTTCTCTTGCTCTCCGAGGAATTATCGTTATGCTTTCAGTAGCGACTGCAAGAAAATGTATTCAAAATTAAAATAAAATACAAACAAAGCATTAGTTTCCTCTTCATGCCACTTGGTATACATAAGGCACTGTCTGCATTGGGCGGCACGGATTGTCTTCACACAGATTCCCTGGCCAACGAATTTGCTTTAATTCAGAATGCCTTGAATCATGTTTAAATGTTTATGTTAGCTAGGCGCGGATCCAGTAGGGGGTACATGCCCCCCTTCGTGTCGCCACTAAATTTTAAATTTCAATGCATATCAATGTTATGTATTGAAGCGTTACTCACTTAACTATTCTGAAAATGCTGTGCCCCAGTTTGATAAATTCTGGATCCGGTTTTATTAACTACAGTATTACAAAATGAAAACAGCAGCAAAGATGCAACAGTTAAAAAAAATTAACCAAAGTAATATTAAATTTTACGTCGGGTGTTGTTCCACCTCACGTAATTTACGGTACTCATTAGGTCAGAAACTTGCTCTTATTTATAGTCATGATCTATTAATGGATTTGTTTCGTTTAGTATTACCTCCACCAAGAAGGTTACGTTTCACTGCTGTTTCAGTGGTGGCACCAGAGGGGGGAGGGGCTGGGGGAAGCATAGCCCCCCCCCGTCGGGGAAGACGATAAGTTTTGTCGGGGAACAAACAAATAAAAAGAAATATTTACATGTAATATTCGTTTAGCCACCATATTGTTTGTGTTAACTTTTCATCACAACAACAATAACAATAATACAATAACAATAATAATAATATTAATAATAATAATAATAATAATAATAATAATAATAATAATAATTATTATTATTATTATTATTCAATGAGACTAATTAAAAATAATTTGCGTTCTGTTATGACAAATGCTCATTTAGATTGCCTCATGATGGTTGGAATAGGCCTACATCGTGATAGGTGAAGCAACCTCGACCATGAAAGCGTGGTTGACAGATTTCATGCAAAATTTCCAAAATATAGAATTTCACTTAATTAGATGGTTACATTGCATACTCTTTGTTTCTTGTTTCATTCAAAATGTTTTGGTTTTGGAAGCTGATTTCAACATTAGAAAGCATAGACTACATGAAGTCATATTATATTAACTCGATGCCTATCAAATAAGTAATAAAAACTCGCCATAATTCATCAAATATCCTTGGCTTCCAGGGGGCCTATGACCCCACTGGGGCCCTAGGCGGCCCCCTGGCCCCACCCAAGTGGGACTCGATTCGCTCCACTAGCCCCCCCCCCATCGGGGCCTTTAGCCTCTCCGTCGGGCAGGTCCTGGCGCCACCACTGTGCTGTTTGTTTGTCAGTCTGTATGTCTGTCTATCTGTTTCTATTTTTGTTAAAAAACAAAAATTGTTAGCTTACATGGAGTTAGAATTCCATTAAATTTTCCTTGACTTTGGTGACATGATGACCCATCTCCATCGCACACTCCGCATACATCATGAACGCGTTTCGAACCTCTGATACCATTGCATCCTACTAGCTAGTTGAAGAAATATAGAAACACACTTAATTGACACACATTTGTAGCGTTTAAAAAGCACTTAGAACGCTGGAAAGCAAATCATTTGTTGTATGAGGAAAATGTTGACCTAAACTGTGTTCAAGGAATTTTTAGGAAAAACGTTATAAATAGTCACCGTCTCTAACATACCCAGCAATCTCCGTTAACACAAACTGAGTTAGTATCATCATAGTTACATCGTGTTCCGTCAATGACTTTCCCTCCAGTCTTGTTAATCGCTCCGGTTAGAAGCGACATACACGAAAGTTTACACTCATCCGAGCCAATTTCTATTGAAATGAACATAGAATGGTTAGTCCAGGAAAGACAATAAATATATTCGCAAACGAGATCAAAGTGGCATATATATGTATATATATATATATATATATATATATATATATATATATCATTAAGGCTTCCAAGCTATATATTAAAAAAAATATTCAGTAACTATTTAAAATTAATGTTCTCGAAAAAAGAGGTCTCGTACCGTTTCCAGTGATGTATGGCACCCACAGAGAGTTTGGTTCTTTACCACGGTGACACTGCAGTTCACGAAAATCGTCAGTAGGTCTTATACAGTCCTAGAATGAATAAGTAATACTTCATTAACACTGCTGGTGGCCTATTCCGATACATGCCTATCGTAAAATTAATATCTACGAGTTAAGCCGGGCAGTCATGTTTAAATAAAAATGTGTTCGAAATGTCTACTCCGTTTTTTCTGTTTTCTTTCTATAAAAATAAACATATTAGTACAGTACTTACATCTGCATTGCATAGTCTGAAGTCCTTACTTTTGCCTCTGCATTTTCTTCCACCTTTAAGTGGTCTGTAAGGAGAACATGTGAGGCCTAATAATATGAACTTGAATAATTTAAGGACGTTCGATACTATTGGAATTTTTAAATAGGTATAATCATCCTTACATCGTCGTTGGCATCATTCCCATCATCATCATCATCTTCAGCATCGTCACATCATCATCATCATCTCATCTCTACCAAATTATTTTATTTACAATGTACGGTACTATTAATAACATTATCTATTATAATATTAAAGTCATAAATTGAACAGTATGTACCAAATAATGGACACATTAAATAACATCCTTCCTATTTATTGGATACGGTAGACAACATAATTAGCTGGTAAACAATTTTAAGAAATTGCGTTTTATACATCTGTAGATAAGAGAATATACTCTGCTCTCTCTGTCATTGGAAAATTATTTATTTAATCTTAATATTAAATAAGCATTTTAATGTTTTGATTTTTAAGGATTTCCACCAGATTTAGACAGTTAGACCTACATAGTTTAATTAGTCATTTAAATGTTTAAAACAAATTGCTTGTTTAGGACTTTCTTAAATTGTTTCCAGGATGTTTCCCTTAAAAATGGCAAACACACGTGTTCCAGTGATATTTATTTTGCTTTGATAAAAATATAATGCAGGCGTATTTCAACTTACGGCGGATTGTTGCATTTTCTGGTCTTCTGACTAACACCGATCCCGCATGATTTACTACACGGGCCCCACGCGCTCCATGGACCCCAAGCTCCGTTTCTTTTTTTGTAGGCCAGGCACCGTCCTCGAAGACACCACTAAACACGTAAGAGGTTAAGTTAAACTGGGCCGGTATTCGGTTATTTCATTCACGCACTTACTAGTGTTTAGTGTAGATACAGACACCCAAGTGACCGACAAAACGATCGTTGGGTATCTACATTCAAAACTTAATATGGCGTATTTAGTAACCCGGTGGAGGTTCATCAAAACATGCAAATCAAACATCAATATTGAAAGCTATTACTGACATTCGCATTTGTTTTTGTTGCTGGACCACATAAACTTTATTCAAATTATGCAAAATAGTTATGTTGCTTTTAGCACTGTGTAGGCCGGTCGGGAATAAAAAATAAATAAATATAGTTTACGCCATACGGTATAAATCTAGGTCTGAATCATAGTTCATTGCTGCATCCATCACGCTCAACCAATGTAGGACTGTTTTTAGTTGATTGTAAACAGGGTTGTAAGTTATCAAGTTCTATCTCTACCGAGATCCAAACATTGTTCCCCATAGCATTGTTGTTTTTCAGTAGTATTACGCTTTTAATATATATAACATTTTTTTTTAAATCTTATTTTTAATTTTTCGGGGGCAAGGTTAAGTTTGGGCAGCACAGATTTTTATTTGGCTTTGTTTAAAGGTAACATGACGTTCTCCACTAGTTGGCATCATGATTAGACTCAAGTTTAACACACATTCATACGCCTAAATCCAATATATATATATGTAATCACCTTGCACGTTTCATCCGTAATAGGATGTGATTCAGTGCATGTCTTATTTATATACGTGTTCGCTACGGTACAATGTTAAACTCTGAGGCCATTTTTTAAAGCAAAAATAGTTGACGTTGTATAGGGTGGTATACTCACCATATTACGCCCACATTTTGTTCCGTCCAATGGCGGTGAGCGCCGTTTCTCTGGCAGGCAATTTCGACTGACCGCTGGGTTGTGGCACAACAGAATATTGCACGGATCAGCCTAAATATAAATAAATACAAAATATAACGAAAAGAAAAAAATAAAATAGATTACAGTAGTATCATAAACACTAAAGCCCTGTCCCAGACTATCAAATTTTATTTGACAAAAACACGTGACATGCCTAAATATGGTTATGATGGCATCACATCATTACCATATATAGGCACAACATGACTATATATGGGCATACAACAGATTTTTAAAATTAAATAACATTTGATAATCTGGACAGAGATTCATCAATTACAATATTATAAAACAAAGCAAGGTAAAACACTAACTTTTTTATTTATTTATTTTTATTTTGATTTTTATCCAGCAGCGTAAACGCCAATAGCATAATGAATCATACATGCAAGAGGCTCTATATAAACCGAGTCTCGTTATGAGGCATCGAGGGGGTGTCCCAATGAGAGAGAGCAAAATGAATGTTACCCTGTTTTCTATCGTCACCCACGGACAGGCTGTATAGTTGTCACCGTGTATGTACTGGCACTGTTCGTCCATGGAAAACTTTTCGCCGATGTTGCTGTTCGGCTGAGGGTACGGAATAGCTACCGGGTGATCTCGTAAACATGAGAAAGACCTAGAAGTGAAATAAAACTTCGGTATATGTCGACATTCGTCAATAACGTCAACTATATTAAAATTTTAATAAGTCTATCTTAAGATTTAACTTATGAAATAAATATACGATTCTAAACGTATGCACAAACAAGCTAAATATTATTATTGAAATGAAGTTAATATAAAAGGCCTATTTGACCATCATAGTAGTAAAGTAAATTATTTCAATTGGTTATAGTTTAACTTTACAATTGATGTTTGCCTCTTAGTCGTAACATGTACTGTAGCATGAAGCAAAGATAAATAGATGGCGTCATAAAATCATAGAAATCAGTACTTTATCAACAGCAACTACGTTTAAAATGGGCTTAATCAGTCATCGTCGTCATATTGATCAGATAGCGCCATTGACATTTTTTCTTTTCCCTCTGCCTTATAAGTTGTGTAGGCCTATAATATCATGTATGGCTATATGCCAACACCTGTTGATTAGAATAGACAGTATGTACAGTAAGGCCTAAGCCTCTTGAAACTCAGTGTGACACTGATGTTGGCGTGTGGTCACGTAGAAAAGAGTTGCTTTAAAAAAATGTCTATTTTATTTGCTGCTACATCGCATTTTTAAAAATTATTTTCCCACGAAAGACTAGAATTACCTGATGTTTGATTTGATTGACTTTCTACTACAGTTCGACCAGAGATACTCAATAAATGTTGACCTAATGACCTTTGACATAACGCTACCATTGAAGATAACATCGGCACACCCATTGTCGTCATCATGTTTTAATCCGAGTCTGGAAAAACAACATTTTAAAAAATTGTTAAAGTGGTTACAGTATATCACCACCTGGTATTTCATTCTTGTACGTAGTATGTAAATGTCGTTTGGAGTGGGCACACCACGAACAACGAATCAACGATGGTAACTCAGGATGTTTACACTTTGACATGCATTGATTTATAGGTGAACTAAATTGATTAACGAAGAGAGCTAGGGCAAATAAGTACTTACAAGTGTCCGATTTCCTGAGCAATTATGAAAGAAGTTGTAAAGCCTTCGTCTTGCACCAATGCACAACTCCTGAACTCATTACACATCTGCCCATTCTGTTCATAGCCTGAATATCAAGATGAGAATCCAATATTAATAATCAATATTCAATAATCGATAAGAATCTAGTAATCTAATAATTCTTAAGCAAGCTACTTTCTCATTGTATTTATAGAAAGAGAACTTAGCAATAGCATTTAATAACAACACATTAGTTTTAACCTCAATGATCTTATAAACTTAAACGCTTCTTTTTTTTTAAATGTAATTGTTGAGTCATTATAGAAATCATGGTCTTCGATAAAAAAGAACAATAGGGTTAGGCCTATTGTTAATCAGAGTTAGAGATTGTGTGATTTAGTGTCTAGAGAACGTATTGACAATAATTGCTGATTAAAGAAGTTCAAAGATGATTGAATAAGTACGGCACTTTGTAAAACAACGGAAGAGTCCCACACTATGATTGATACGATCTGAAAATGCTTACACCAATCCGGAGTCTAGGGATACTCTATCCCACAAAATGAAATGTCCAAGCGATATGCTACTAGCATATCTAAATCCACCTGGAAGCAAACTAATATAAATCGAAACTAATCATATGTCATTATTATTGAATTGCATCATCAAAAGTAAATCTATCAATACGGATGCTTAACAATATAGCCTCTCCAGGGAGAAAGTACTATGGGAATACGCTAGCTTTCGCGGAGTTTAAAAAATACCACTGTGGTGCAAAACTAATGCTGTTAATTCTTCAGCGGGTGAACATTCAGTCGAGTACTTACTCCACCATAAACCGATAGGTAATAGGATGTGAAGTCGGAGGAAAATTGCATTAGGAAGATAACATTTGTCGCACAGCTACTGTTTAATATCAACATCAGTAAGAATTAGATTTTATTTTATACCTCCTTGGGTAGACTTAGCACTGGTACACAACCGCTCGCTGTTAAGGATTCAAGAGTCAAAAGTCAGCAAGTAGTTTTCAAATACTCTCCTATGGTCATATCACTTTAACCATTTTAATAATAACACGCAAAGGAAGATATAAAGACAATAATATTACATTCAGTTTAAAGAAATGAAAAATCAATGTCTCAGTATTTTCAATTTCACATAAATTTCTATTGTAAATTATGTTGAAGCATCTGTGTTTATGCTAACTATTCCAAACTTTCAACAATGGTAGACCTACCTTTGAAAAAAAAAAAACAACAAAAAACAACAAAAAACAAACAAACAAACAAAGCAGCAATTCTACAGTTGGCATATAATATGTATAGATAGTTTGTTATGCCTTAAGAGGTGTTTTGGGGGAGAGATCTATCCCGTATAATGGAAGTGTGATTCGTTACATCTTTCTACTTTCATTTCTTGTTCCTTTTCCCGCTCAGCCTTTCAAGACTCGTGTTCCCGCGGTTGACCATCAAACAGTTGAAAATGTTTCTGTCACAACTTTGCGTTTAAATAAATTAGGCTTATCTACGTTTTTTTGTTTGTGTTTTGTACTACGTTCATTGTATTATCACAGTGCGCAGTCACGTCTAGAGATTATACTTTCCGTATGCTGGCTAAATAAAGTCATCGTGTGCATAATCTCCTAATTACAGAGTAACTTTTCTTGTATAATATACTAACCTGATTTTGAGAGCGCTTTCCTGGTGAGAAACAAGGCCAGATCATGGTGAGCCAGATTAGTTTCATCAGCATCCTGGTTCATTCTCGCCCATGAGCACACGCGACTCCGACTTAACCGCAAACTCTTTTCGACTATTTTGTTTGCTGACTACAGTATGAAACGAAAAGAACATAATTTCATCAATTCCTATAAATACTAAATATGGTGTTTCCATCAAATGCTGCGGAAACATTGGCTAATAGGCCTATATACCTACAGTAATCTTTCATTGTGTTTGTATCAAAACTAACAAATTCTGTAATAATTACAATAATATAGTGGAATGACAAATAAGGCATTAATAAAAAAAAAATGTTGATGAAAAACAAAGCACACGTGACCCAGGAGTCTGGCAAAAGAAATTGGCGCAGCTAGCGTGATCTTAATTATCTCGACAATAAAGAGAGGGGTTTCTCATGTCTCACATAGGCTACATGCATATAGAGTACGTACCTCTTGTTCATTCCAAAGAACGATTTTGGTGATGATAATTTGGATGTTTATACCAATTGTTTCATCCTGTAATATCTCATTTACCTTACAACAATTGAAAAAAAAACACACACACATTTACTATATAGCAGATTTGTAATCATGGCAAAAGGTATATTTGCTAAACAAAATATTACCGTCGTAATACATATATTGTCTGTGGAGCTAGGCAAATTTTTAAATAATATTCATTATTTTTATTACTTTATATATGTAAAAGCAAACAAAGTGTATTATTGTTTGGTTTAGTTTAGATGGCCCTTAGGTAAATTTTGGTTTATAATCGTTTATTGTTGAGAAGAGTTTTCAAGGGGACGTTTATTCCAAGCGGGGTGTCTATTTGAATGGTATGTGTGTGCTTTACAAATGTTAGTATTTGTGTTTAATTATTACTAGTTGAGAACCTGGCACAGTTATTTTGGTTTGTGTTCACAACTTAGTCTCCACCTAGAAACATAAATGCGTACCGGCTTGGAAGGTAAACAGACCTCCATTTCAGTATACTCAAATCAATAAACCTCTCTATTAGCAGTGCGCTAGAATCAGGTGACGTCATTATAACTGATGTCTTATTTATTAACTTTTAAAAAGCAATTCAAAATCAACGTTTCAATTATTTTTAGTCCTAGTTGGTGTAATTTTGTTTAGTTGTCGATGGTAAAAAAACCCCATAAAAACAATTTTTCTTCAGTATCCATAAATGGGCAACATGTGTGTTATTAAGAAGAAATATTGAAACTGTTAAGGTTTCACCCACAATGCAATGGGGAAAACAAAGAATGACGTCGTCATGATATGCAGTTTTTTTCCCCTTTTGCCTTATATTTTGCTCACCTTGAAAACTAATGCTTTTATATATTCGGTTACACTATCTTTGTAGAATTCGGTCATAGTGAATTCACCAACAACTAACGTTTCGATGTAACGAACGGGCCCGTCTATTGATCGACGATTACGTAAGTTATGCACATCTATATAGATTGGTAGTAAAATGAAAATACAAATGCTTTAAATCAGTAATTTAATAATATTAATATAATAATAATAATACTGTACTGATAACAATACGAAATCATTGTTAAAAATCTTTAAACACCCTCTGTTATCTCAAAAACATACCTTCTTTCACATTAACTTTCACGATAGGCTGGTGAATTATGTTGCTATGACAATATAGTACATGAGGGCAGCCATATTGACGACACTGCTCTTCGTCGTAGGTAACATACTCGACTACACACGTATGGTTTCCGAAATCAATTACTCCTTGCTGTGATAAATGCAATTGTATAAATGTATTGATCCTACTTAGGCCAACAACAACAATATGAAACATAAAAACTGACAGAAGCAGATTGAAATATGCGTCCCCCGAAATTTAAACACACTAAAGGCAACTTACACTCACAGCAGAGGTAAAAAGACAAAACTGAAGTTTAAAGGAAATATAGGCCTACACAAAAATATAATAAAAACCGAACTTGATGTTAACTTACCATTCCATAATTGACAATCAGTTGAGCCTGTGAACGAACCCCTTGAACGCACCCCGTGTATTTGACATTGTCGTTTCCACGAAAATATGTTGTAATTGGTGTAATGTTTGCATGAGTACTTATGTTCAAATCACTCGTGTAGCTAGACTGCTGTGGATCCCTCACGAGTGCCAATGTATGTTTGATTTCATCAATTTCAAATGTAATGTGTAGTAATGGCGGCGGGTTCAAGAAATCGAAGCTAACAAATTCTCCATCTTTGGTTGATTTGAACGGTATAACTATTTGGTCTGGAAAAGCAAAAAATAAAAAAGACGATCATGGGTATGGCTTACATATTGACAACAGGGCCTGTTTATGCAGTTAAGTTTTATATTGGTAGCTGCGCTGTTATTGTTGCGTACCGTATGTCACAGAAGTATATTAAGTAGTGCAATTGATCGACTGCTGAAAGAATTGAACCAATGGCATTCGGAATACCATGTTTTCTTTACTTGCAAAAATATGAGAAAAAACAAAAATTATCGTACCTGATTTAAACTGATCTTGATTCCATTGATGAAACTAATAATAAAGAGACTGAGACTAAATAATTCTTGATTTAATGTTGTAACAGGCTAGCCATTGATGTGTGCCGCATTTTATCCGCCAACATGTTGCAATAATTGATTAATATTAGGCTTTGTAATCACACATGACGAAGGCCAAGGTGGAATGCGATGACGATAATGTTTTACAACGGAAAATACCCAGACACAATCCCCATTGAGGCCCACTTACACCTCAAACAGCTTCAAACAAGGCAATCTTTCAGAAGAAATGTGGCGTGAAACATACTGTTTAATTAGACCAATGATCTCAAACAAGCTAGTCCTTGTTTTTACGAATATGACCTAAGCATTTAATCTACCGTTAGGCATATCTATTTTGTGACAGTGTTCATGGCCGTGAATTCTGAGTATTTCACGATCAATGCCATTTTTTATTTATTATATTTTACTTGAATCATATTGAATTAGGATAATAAACAAAAAGCTGATCATTTGGGATTCCCAAGATCGGTTTTTTTTTTTTTTTTTCAAACTAAAAGAATTTTTTTGGGGTTAAATTATGGCTTTGCCGTCTGCGCAAACGTAAAAAGGACCAACATCATTTATATTTGAATTCAATTTCAGAAACAAAAGAAAAACATAACTGATGTTGAATCAACCAAGCAATGTGATACAAAGTAATCAAATTTATGGCATCAAATTCTTGCTCGACTTGATGGCGGCACTAGCCGTGTTTCCAAGTCGAACCGGGACCCACGATGAGAAAGAAGTCAATCATTTCTTCGTTGAAGTGGAACCCCGCTCATCCCAATATGTGCATGCAGGTGTGATGTCTCCCGAGGGCCAAAACTGTCAGGGCTGTGCCCAGGTATATGGGAGGTCTGGCAATCGAAAAATTAATCGTAGATATATATTATTGTAAATTCCCCGACAAGCACTATGTAGGCCTAATCCCTGAGTCCACTATTCAACTAAAAAAAAAAAAAAAAAAAAAAAAAAATTTCCACGGGGAAAAAGTCTTAATCCTTCTAGACGAGAAAACAAGACGTCGTTGAACAATACATACTGTAATTCTTTTGTCCGGTAAAAATGATTTTTAAATAGATAAGTAAAAATAAATATATTAAAGAGTCGTTGTAAAAGCCTTTTATTTTCATAGTCTAAATTAAAAGTGCCTTGATTTCCGTACGGGGCGCCGTACGGAAAAATAAATAAATAGCAATGTCCCAAACGGCGCCCCGTATTTCCGGGCATCTAGAAGTGTTTTTAAAAATGTTGTCACCTCAACCTCACCTCCAACTTGGACACTTCGTCAGGGAATTATGGCGACACCATTGGTTAATCTAACATTTATGCGTTGAAAAAGCTCAAGCGAATGGAAATTGCCTTCGCGGCTTCATATCTAGGCATCGTTTTTGAAAATTTGCTCACCTCAACCTCTACTCTGGTGAGGCTGAGGTGAGAGTCGGCACCCCTCGTTTGGGAATTAATGGCGCCACCATGGTTAATCTAAAATTAACGCCGAATGGAAATTGCCTTCGCGGCTGTTCAGCACCTCTTCTTACCCCTCTCAGCCAAACTATATACATCCACCCCAGACGTCACTCCCAAAATTATTTGTTTTCGCTATTTCAAGTAAATAATTCTTGTTTATGGATGTTGGGAACTGATGTTCGCCTTTAAATCTGAAGAATGAATGCACTAAAGTTTCATTACAGGTCACCGCCCAGCAATATCATTGCTTAACTTCAGAATCGTCCCTCGTCGTTCAAACTCTCTGTAATGGTACCTAATACTTTTAAATCTCTCTTGGACATTTGGCAAGAGAGGCTTTACAAGGATTTAATGTTAATTCAGCTTGTCGACTAAGCTTAACAATTTTCCATGAAGTCATGTAGGGTATGCTAAGCTACTTATTTATAGGCTATGTAATTTTAAATGCTTTTAACAGAAGGAATGTAATTGAGTAAATTCATCTTAAATCACGGGTAGCTCCAGGATTGGCCGACGGGGCCAGAAGTTCCTGACGAGGGGGCCGAATCTCCGACGAGAACGTAAGTGGGCGTGGTCGGGCGCCGCTGCTCAAAAATTCTCGGAAGTGATCCAGTGTATGTAAAAATATATATAATTTGTTTATCTCCCCGACGAAGTGTATTTTTCTCCCTGACGAGGGGAGGGGGTTGGTGACAACCCAGGACGACCACTGGCGCCACCCCTGTCTTAAAAGAACATATTTAACAATCTTAACTATGATAGCACACTATACCATAAATAAGTGTAGCACCATAATTAGAATTGTAACTTACAAGTTTCTGAAAATCGTACTGCGGTCGACATATATGAACTTCCCACGCAAAAGGATTTTACTTGCCACCCCCAAAATATGCTCCCGTGTTTTTATTTTGCACACGTCAAAACATAAAAAACACCGTTTAATTGGGCCATTGCCGTAGTTCATTTATTAATCATTGTTCTTACTACGGCGTTTAAGCCAGATATCTTTCTAGCGACAAGACGGAAATTATAAACTGGCGGATTTCGAGCAGTAAATTGTCGGTAACAGCGTTGTTTTGAGCTATTACCATGCTTTTTACGGGTTCTCATTATAAAGTAAGTGACACAGTAGTACATGAGTTCAAAGGTTCATGATGCTTGTTTTGCGCCTTTAAGATGTACAGAGCATGCCTGAATTATCATCATTCTTAACATTATTATTACTGACGGCTTATTATATTAATTATTATAATTATAATTATAAATTTAATTTTAATTATTATAATTATAATAATAATAATAATTATTATTATTATATTATTATTATCATATTATTATCATTATTATTATTATCATATTATTATTATCATATTATATTATTATTATTATTATTATTTTTATTATTATTATTATTAAGTATTCCTTAGTATAGTTTTATAGGAATTTCGAGGTAATGAACTAAAAAATAAATTATAGGATTTAAAGGCGAATTTAAAATTTTAATGAACTTTTAAGTAGTGGTTACCAAACGTCATTTGTGGTGCGATTTTAAGGAACAAACTTTTGAGGTTGCAGATCAGAAGGGGGCTAAGCAAACCATATCCATCCGTTTTTTCAAGGAACATATCAATTACAACTTTGACACCACACAGCGATGACTAAGACAAGAGGAAATGACAAAACCATAAACGATATTATGAGTAATGGCGGAATCCCTCACTGTCCCAGATCGGTAATCTCGTGGGACACATGTTTATTGGCGGAGAAAATTATTTTGAAAGGCATTCATAACAATGATGGATGACCAGTCGATCAAACGGGATGGGGTGTCTTGAAATATTGACAGGGTTTATAGTATGTAGGCCTAGGTAAACAACTCCACCTTAAACCATACAAAATAAGCGTTACGAATATATTATTCGACAGCGACATTTCTTAGTTGTTTTGTCGTAGTCGAACGGATAATTTCCATGATTTAGTTATTTTTTTAATGTTAAATGTTAACTGTACTATTAAAAATAAAGACAGATAGTATTAGCATTTATGACTATAATTATGACTATAATTAAATGGGGCAACCTGTCTAGGTCATATCGTTTCTTTTTAGATTCATAGAAGCAGACATTGAAGCATTATGTTCGTTTTAAATACCTACACGTTTTTTCTATTCCAAGTTCTGCGTACTTTCAAGTGTCAATTTGAATTAACTCAGTCAACAGATGCATGAAAATTTAAAACGTATTTGTTATTCGGTGGTAGTATATTTTTTAGGTTCACAAAAAGGAGGCCTGGCGTGCTACCGGAGTAGATTTTTTTTAAATTTTTTAAAGTAATACAATAATACGTGGCTTTTCTGTGTCTGTGTCGCCGATTGCGCGTCGCTTTACTAAGCTTTAAATTATAACAAACTCGTTGTTGTCCGATTCTGACAGGGTAGGCCTATTTCGTTTCTGTTGCTTTAACCATGGGGCTCCTTCTGAGTTCTGTCCAATCATAGTGTAAACTGTTTAGCATTACTCATATCGTTCCTTTCATTTCTTATTACCGTATGCTATCATCAAATGTATTACTTGATATCTCTTAAACGACGAAGGCGTAAATCTTTCGTTTTTTTAATAAGAATAGTTTGAACGATAAATATTATCCTTGATGTACGGTAATTATAATGAGTTGGGCGAGTACACGTACATACTCCCTTTATTTACGTAAAATAAAAAAATAAAAGTACATTTTGACTTTTGAAATATTGGACCAATAGGAGATTATGTTGATTAACTATCCTTACAAATAAATAAACCTAAATTAAAATATTATAATAGGCCTACTTTGCCTTTTTTAAACAATACTGGTAAATTCACTGTGCGATTCTAATTGCACAGTATAATAGATAGGTATTGGTTTTTGAACTGTTTACAGTATTTATAATAGTTAATTAAATTATAGGCCTAATAGTCAAAATATTATTTACAACGTTACTAGCTAGGCCCACTTACCTGGACGGAAGTTGCACCGTGGATTGTGGCTAACACAATGAAAGGAAACACAAAGGTCCACATGTTCCTTATCGAACTCAAGCTGAGCGCAGAGGCTAGAAGCAACACATAGGCCTATGATGAAGATGACAGTCCGAGTGAATTACGTGATGTACCGTACAGTACACAGTTAAAAGGAGCGTGCTGTCAAAATATTTTAGCCAGTTTCCAGCAGTAGCGTTTGGTAACTTTCTCCCGTTTACCGCAATTGATCCTGGTTTACTGTAAATTAGACAAAACCGACTAGATCGCTCGTCGATGGTACGGCGCGTGTTACGGATCTCGTCAGATTCAACTGTTGTGAAAACACGCGTGACTTAATTAAGGTGTATGGATAGGCATGTAATGGGGGCCTACGCTTTTTGTTTTATTTTGCCGCGTTCAGTGACGTCTCAGTTAGTAGAATGTGTCGCCAATAACGGGAGCCCTGTGTTTGGTCAGGGTTTATGTGATTACAATACAAGCAATAACAATAATAATTTCCGCAATTACGTTACCCACAAGAAGATAACATTACCATCTGGATTCGTTTGCCGCCACATGTCAGTAATGTCACCGGCCATATAAAGAAGGTCTATACTTCGATCTTGACCAAAAATGAGCAGGCACTGTATAGGCCTACTGTAACATGTATTTTTTTACTTTCTAAATGTAAAGTAATTGGGGTTTTCTTGGATTATAATCGATTCGACAATATGGCATTAGCATGAGGGTGAAGTCAGTCCAGAATTACTATCCTATTTATTTAGTTATTTAATTAGAGGGAGAGACCTGTATTGTAGTGTTAGAATTACGGTATGTAGCACAAAATCATGCCGGAGATTCTATACACTTAACATTAAATAATAAGAAATTTAACTCAACCTTTTTTTCTTTTGTACTCATCATCATAATCGGCATTATTTTTTCTTTTATACTCATCATCATAACCGTCATTATTATTATTTACTATCATTATCACTTCAATTAAGCATAAAGGCCTACTATATGGTAATCAATATACTATTATTAAGTTCCAGTATACGTTAATTTTTATATTAAAACGATCATTGTCTATAGGTAAATATAATAGCCTTACTTTCAAGAATATGTTTTAAAAAAAAATTACAATTTATGCACACTCGAGTAGGTTAATTTGTTATATGGCAAAAAATAGACGAAGTAGGCTCACTACTATAAATTAAACTGGTCATAGAGTACCACAGTCGTGTTGTCATAACGCCAGGTGGCGCCCTCTGTCACCAACTAGACGTTGGTTACCGTTCATTACGCCTGAATGACTTCATAAACTTTCTATAATAGGCATTTTAAAATCTAATATGTTACAATCAAAATGTACTAAAAACACAAATGCTCGCATTATAAGCCTAGTTTTCGAACACACATTTAATCATCAATTAAAATTTACAAAGAAAAACTAAGATACAACATTAGGTTAGAAATTGGGATCAATGGTTTGTCAGTGGAGAAATTTTGCCACGAGAGCAACGGAGTAGCACTTGGTATCGTGACGTAACACTGTAGTACTCTATACACACAAAAATGTTTTGTTCCAGCAGCATCATGGACTAATCACTGACTTACTAATAGGTCTTTGGTTTAATCAGTTCGTGAATTAATCTAGTAACAGAAGTAGGCCTATTGAATACTAGAGCCCACTAATTTAAACTCGTGATACACAAAAAGTAAGTTTCAAGGAGCAGGTCTAATCCCTGCGTGCTGAACTTAATCTCGTAACAAGAATAACAAAGCATTTCAACAGCACTACCGAGATCCGCCATACTCTCCGCCATACTCTAACATAAAGACATTGACCATAAATATTATACTACATAATCTTACGCCTTTCCCTTCTCCTGGTCCCAACAGTTAAAGTTAAGAACAGACTCGAGTACATGACGTCTTGGTTGCTGGCATACTGCCATTTTTCTTGCAGTTTTTCCTATTCACCGATTTATCCTTTCCATATTTGGATCGAATACATTTTACATTTCTTTTCTTTTCTCCATTTGCACCGCATTTAGCCCGACATTCAGACCAAGGGGATGGCTTCCAATCAAAGCTGAAATTTTAAATTAAACAACTTTCTTTAAAAACAAACAAACAAACAAACAAACATTATTATTATATCATCGTCATTACGTCAATAGTTTCTTTTATAAATTGTAATACATTTATTATAACTCTTGTGGGCGCATGGATACTTAATAATCTGAGTGATCACCTCTAGTTATTTATTTAGGAATAACGCCATTATACTTACGTCGCTTTAGGCCTACATGTGCGTGTGTTGCATTCTTTGCGGTAAGGCTGAAAACCTTCGCGGTTGCAGTACTCATCCGTTGTTGTTGTGTTGTCGCTCAACCTCCGACATTGGTATTTGTGGTAGGTTGTTCCTTAAAGTTGAAATGAGTATCGTTTGTTTCCAAAAATAATACTTGTAAACATGCTTAAGCAAAATCAATAATTATACCCATTGTTCCAAAGCATAATTAAGAAACATTTTATATAAGCATCGGATAAGAGACCAGTAGATTTAAGGCATTTATCGAATCTGAACTGAAAGTATTTTTATTCATTTATTAGAACTTCATTTAATGAGACCATTAATTGAGAGCTGATATTAAGGGGTCCTCAACAAACAAATATGAAATACACAGATAAAAGAGAAGAAATATGACAATAGAACTGCTTTTCTGATGCGATGGACGAACCGCTCGGTAGGATTCGGATTTGGTGTGAATGTACCTTTATACTGAACAGGTATTATACCAACTATGATATAGACTTATCAAAAAAAAAAGAAAAAAAAAAGGCTGTGAAACAACAGGAAATACTGTCTATCCACATCAGGGCAACATTTTGCTAGCCTATTTCCTCTTTAGTTACTCTTTAGTTCTTTTGCCGTACAATATCACCTCTACAGCAATGCGATACAATAAGGTATCACTTTAAACCGATCTCGAGAGAGCGACACACAAACATATTCCTTATAATTAGGCTAAATGTAAACATTTAGATAAACACAAAACTGCTTGACGTGTAAATCAGTAATCAAAATCGGTAATTTCAGTCAAGCTTACCTCCACCACATGATACTGAACATTCTGTCCATCCTAAAGATTCCCATTCATATCCAGATTGCGGTTCTGGTGAAACTCCTGAAGGTGTTGTATTCAGACGATTTGGAGTAGGCCTATCAGACTTAGTTGGTGAAACTTGTTCCTTGTTTTTTGACACACAGACGCCAGATATACAACTCTGATTTGATGCAATAAAACATATATTCACATGATTAGGTAAC